GTGAATACCCAAGAGTTGCCAAAGAGCCTCCCAAAATTTCGCCCCTTTTTCGGTATTCGATTCGACCTTCGAACCAAGGTTTAAGTGGAAGCTTATAATAACAGAAAACTCAGGAAAAAATTTCAAGATGAGTATAGGATATAATGAATACATAATGAATACTTTTACCTGAAATTCTCTGATACTTCAGATCACATTTCGAAGAAAATTCCGTGAAAAATTGGACGGAAAATGTTTACAAGTCTCCCCGAAAATTCGTATTTTACCAAAATAAATTTGGCAACGCACGTAGGTTCATACGGCGTTTTTCCTTAGCACGGCAGTATAGCAGTTTGCGGCGCCCGAATTTCCAGAGGACCAAGACATCGGGTCGACAAAGATGAATCGAGACGATTCCTTGTAAATTTCCGTGAATTTACGTGAAAATAAGTCGCATTTGAAAGAGCAACGGGCGAGACAGCAGGGAAAGGAATGCTGGGGACAAAAGGTCCTCAACGTTTTCTGAATATTTTCACGAGCGGAGTCTGATTGCGAAATTCAATGAGGACCGTGGATTGACGGCGTGAAAATTTCGCTCTTCTCTCTGCTCTCGCGACCCGGGACGCGGATTATTAAAAATTTAATATCAAAAATCAAATTTGACTCCTGGCTCCTCCTCGAGCGACAGTTCAAAGAACGCGTCACTGGATTCTCGTGATGTTTTTTTCGGATTCTTTCTCGGGCCTTGTCTCCACGGGACGTTTTCATGGGATTTGGCCCAAGTTCGAATCGCAGGAATGAAACTTCTGGGATATTTCCCAGTTACCGTCTCCACGGGACGGGGCTCATACAGTCCTGCGACTAGTTTTCGCGGGAAGATAAGTTGGTTAAAGTCGAGTGTTTAACCGGGATTAAAATAATAATTGCACTCAATTGGCAATTAGACACATTATTTTAACTAAACAAACATTAACAATGTAGTAATGAATAAAATATCGCACAATTCGTTTTCACTTCTTCTTCTTCTCTCAGTGGGTCCTAGGGGTACAAGTGCCATACTTGGTACTGGGAAAAATATTGATTAACTCAATATTTTTCCCAACTTCGTAAGTGGGATTTTTCCCTGCGGGCCGATTATTGAAATTGATCGACAAAGCTATAGACAAAGGAGACAAAAGAGGTATGGAGAGATCCTATTGGTGGAACCGGGTGGTTGCAACAGACATAGAAGGTAGGTAATTAACTAACTAACGGCAACTCACGAGAAACCCGACTGTTATTCTATCATTTTCTCCCTTTGTCGATAGGAACCACCCATTTCAACCAATAGGATCGCTCCATATTCCCTATGTCTTCTTTGTCTATAGCTTTGTCTATCAATTTCAATAATCAGTCCGCTGGGACAAATCTCGTGAAACGGCTCGTGGAGACAAGGCCTTAGAAGTATCCAGAAAGGTTGTCTCTCTGCTTTTGAAAAAAGGACGTGACTCAATTTTCATATGACACAAGGAAAGCGTAGAGTTATATGGATGAGGAAGCGCATCTCAAAGAATAGTTGGACGCTTTTTTGTTTTGAGGAACTAACATTTCTGACAGTTAGTTGGAATTTTTAGCCAATCCAGTTCACTGGATTTTTTAACGCGTGTTGGCTAAAAATTGCAACTAACTGTCAGAAATGTTAGTTTCTAAATGCAAAAGAGAGTCCAACTATCAAAATAACCATAAAAATCCAGAAAGCTGTATTGGCTAAAAATTCCAACTTACATGTCTATACGACTTGTGCGTCTACCGCGACCAGTTTGGACAATTTCTGGCCCATTCGTAAATGCATCTATCTGCATAGAGAAACTAATAGCATCATGCATAGGCATGCATCATGCTAGGCATACATAGTGCCTTTCTATCAAACTCGGTTACTAAATGGACGTATGTCTGCCGAAAAGAACTATGTGCATTAAGACATGAGCCCTGAGACTCATAAGAATTTATGCATATAACAGGACTCACGTCTTAATGCACATAGTTCCGTTTGACAGAAATACGTCCAATTAGCAAGAGATGAACCAGTGAGTGCGATTCTATTTCAAACCCTGGGTAGCTGAAATTGCATACACAATAAATTGAAGGCAAACACAGTTTCTAACTCTTATTATCGCTCGATTAGGCTCATGGATCGAGACGCTAAAAGTGCAATGGGGATGTTGCATGTGTGAGGAATTTGCGATTTGACTGTCGATTCTTATGTAAAAGTTCACGAGAAACACGATATGGTGCCACTGGTTTTCTTTGAAATCAACTCCCAAGGTCAAAAAAAGCTCTCAAGTTGAGGCCAAAATGGAGGGGATATCCCACGCTTTCTTGAGAGTCCACCTCTACATCAAGACAAACTCTCCATGCAAAGATAGGGAGCAAATACATTGACAGGGCTGCCACTTTATTCGGGGACTCCAAAACTGAAAACACGGCATCACTGATAATGTATTTGCTCCCTATCTCTGCATGGAGAGTTTGTCTTGGTGTAGAGGTGGACTCTCAGGATAGCGTGGGATATCCCCTCCATTTTGGCCTCAACTTGAGAGCTTTTTTTGAGCTTGGGAGTTGACTTTAGAGAAAACCAGTGGGACCATCGTGTTTCTCGCCAATTTTTACATGAGAATCAATTGTCAAATCGCAGATACCTCACACACGCAACATCTCCATTCGCTAGCGGAAATTTTGCAACATCGAAATGTAGTTACGTTTTTTCGTCGGAGAAGTACTTTTCTTTTTTTTCTCTCTCTCTTTTTTGAGGACGGGGTTGGACGTGGCATCTTGCCGATAAGGTCGGCTTTGGTGCAGCTCATTTTTAATTAAAAGCTCTCGTGTAGGCCTATCAAAAGCTCAGAGTTTCTTAGCGTCTCAGTCCCGTCCTTTTTTCACCGGACTCTCTTCCGTTCCGTTCCCCGTTCCCCCTCCGACGGCCCGGTCCCTTCCCGCGTTCCTTTAATATAAATTAACGACGCTCCGTCCGTCCTAATCCGGTGTCCCCGGTCGCGGTCTGACCCCTTTCCGCTTCCTCGAACTACTTTCGCCGACCGGGCTTGTGACCGGAAGTTGCAGTTCCTGAGCCCGCCCGGAGAAAAAGTATTTTCACTTTAATTGAGAGTGAGCAGACTTGGTCGTTTCTTAGAAGAAGGAACGTAAGTTCATTCTCAGGTTCCTGAATTGCCTCGAAAAATTTACTTTTTTACGAGAATTATAGCGCAGTTAAAAATGTCCGTTTCTGTAGTTACGTCCAGTATCTATGAGTCACTTTTTGCGGTCGGATGAACCAAAAAAACTTGGTTGATCGACCAAATGTTTGGTTAAATCGCACGAAAGCGCAGGTTACTTTGATACTTGTGGGGATGAATAAAGAGTCCCGCTGAACTAATTTATTCTTGTTTTCGTATACCATTTGGAGATTGCGACTTTCGAGTGGCTTTTAGGCTATCTCCAGTTCAATAATCCAGATTTTTCAAATTACTGGACAAAAATATAGACAAAGAAGACAAAATGGATATGAAGGGATCCTATCGATGGAAGAAGGCGATTCCATTGCAAGAAGGAGGATGGCAATAGACTAACTAACGGCAATTTACTATAGATCCTATTTAGTCCATCATTCTCCTCCCGTCTATAGGAACCACCCATTTCAACCAATAGGATCGTTCCGTACCCACTATGTCATCTTTGTCTATCACCTTATTTATCAATTTCAATAATTAGCTTGCAGGTCTGATCCTGGCGGCTCGAGCCTGATTTTCAATCCACAGATTTGATCAATTTAACTCGACGAATCTCCTGCCGAAAGTACAATTTGCGGGTAGAGGTTTTTTAGTTTGAAATGTAGTAATGGTCTTGCGTGTGCAAATGACGACCTCATAGAATCACTGAACTGCAACGATTCAATTTTTTGAAATGTTTTTCTCAGTCTAAGAATGGCCTTCATTGTTCAGTAGCTGGTTTTCGTGTGAGAGAGTTGGACCTTCAGTATCGCGAACGGACCATTACAGGTGACATTAAATAAACTCCTGTCTGGTAAAATTTCGTTTTTTCAAGCAAAGAGATTCGGTCATCTGACAGAAAGATTTATGTGATCTTTGTCTCGGAAAAGGGATACTCTACTAAATCGGATCCTAAATAGAAGATATGTTCTCATATAAAAAGGGAATATTCAAAATGATTTTGAATAACCTCAAGTAATATTTATATTAATTTTTGAACCTTTTTTAGTTTGAGGCCTGAACCTTAGCCCTTCATTCATTTTATTTCTTGTATTTGTTCCAGGTGAGTCAAGTCATTTTTCAAAGATCCAAGATCAAAGATTCAATACAAGAGTGCATGGGTATGGGTGAGTATGAAGCCTGCTCAGGTTGAATAGTTACATCAAATCAAGAGGTTTTGATAACAATGTGATTATAAAATGTCGCAAATCAAGCAGGCGCCAGCTAAAAGTTGATTTGTGAAGTATAGGTCAATAAATTGTCTGATATAAATCATTCTTTGATATCGTCCAAGGGCCTTTAGTGCTGATAATATCTAAATTGGGGTGTTGATACCATTCCTTATAGAATTATCTCCGAAAATGGTATTGAAAAACTGTCCAAACTACTGAACTCAACAAGAAGTAGGAATTTTTGAAAGTTGCAGTGCGAAAAGCATATTTTTAGGACAAGCTATACATCAAGGCGTCACGTTCAAGTCTCCCAATGGATCAAAATATGATTTATTTGATTATGATATATTTAATATAATGTATAATTATGTGACGCCTTTTATTGCTGAAAAATCAAATAAAATAGTTTAAAACATATAATTTGGTATACCCTCTTGGCTTTTCTCTAGAAAACTCAAATACCAAATTTCCGATCCAATTTTTTATTTGTAGAAAAAAATCGATTCCTTAAAAAAAAATTGCCTTCCAATATTATTGGCTTCTCTTTTTCTAAGATCTCATTCAAGGAATGCGTATTTCATACAAAACAGTGATACAAAGCGAATAGCTACTCAAGAATTTATTTGAATTACTAGGGTACAAGATGCATACGATACATTGTTGCCATTCAGTATCCAGCAAAACCTCCCGGTCTGCGAAAGTCATCAATAGCTGTGATTTCACCATCGATTTTAGCAACAGCGGTTGCTGCAGATCCGTAATTCAATTTATCCGTCAGCCTTTGAAGCTTGTGACCTGCACTTTTCAAAGCGTCGACTATATCCTGAAAAAATATTCAAATGAGCCGTAACGATTATGGAAATGAAATTCTGAAGTGTTTATTCAAAATTAGCTTATGAGATTTACGACAAAGTTTAACCCATTATTTTGAATCATGAAATATAAAGTGATAATAAACCGGGCTAAAATTTGATCAGAGTTGCATGCGAGATTGAATTGTCGCGTGAAGCACATGAAGCAACAGGGAATTGATCCAGGTAATTGATTAATTGAGTAAGTAGGTAATGATTAAATTTCCCCAAAAAATGAAAACTCACCTTGCTGAGACCGTCTTCGTAAGTTGCAGACATGGGGTAAAGTTGGTGATGAACGCGAGGATAGTTCACTGCCTCTTCGAGAGTTTTGTTGTACCAGAGATTCATAATGGCAATCTGAAACATGTTTATATCTCTGAATTGAGCAGTCTTTAAATGCCTGTCAGAAAAAGTCCTTTTGTGACCCTTCTTTGGGGAACTCATAAATTTTTTCCAAATGTAGCCTAAATAAAATCCTATGAAAAGAAACGCCTCCATTGAAAGTTTTAGCTTCAGCTTAAAGCTCGTGTTAGCAATGACAGCGTTGCAAATACATTTTTCACCAATGAAAAATAAATAATATTTTGAAAGTTCGTGGTTGAGAAAAACAACTTTAGTTGTTGTCATTTCATGTTCTGAGGCACAGTAACACCAACTGAAGATACTAAAAGCAAATTAACAAAGATCTACGAAAGTTTTTTTTAAGCCCAGGAACTTCAAAATATCAGCATTTTTAAATGGTGAAAGATGTAGTAACGCAGGTATTGGGTTTCGTCAATTTGTAGCTCGAGTTCTACGACTAAAATTGCGTACGAAATCGTGGCTATTTTGGATGCCCACTTGAATGAGGGTGACGAGACAATTTTTGAACTTGCTGGTGCTTTTGAAAATTCGATGCATCAAGACACAGAAATTGACACATATAACTTAGTTTTTTCACTAATACAGCCCTCTTATTCGTAAATGTGGAACATCAGCACTGCCGTCCTTAGGAAAAATGCCGTATGTACATTCGAGAGATGCCAAATTTTTCTCCAAGAAAATACTATTTTTGAGAAGAGTTAAGAATATAATTCCGTGAAATTTACAGATATTTTAGATCAAATTGCGAAGGAAATTCTGTGACAAATTGGGAGACAAATAGCCACAAGTTTTCCAACCAATTGGCATTTCATGGAAGGAAATTTGGCAGAAGATGCTCGATTGGGTCTCTCCTCGGAGGAGACGAAGGGGACGCCCAGTGAGAGGGTGGCGACAGGAGGTTTTAGAGGAAATGAGGAAGTGGCAACCCCCTGAAGGACTTTACGCTAGGAAAAAAAAAACACATTGGCTCTAGAGTCCAGACTCTTAAAAACATCGACAAGAGAAAGTACTCTTGATTCAATCAGAATCTAGCTTAAATCAAGAACCAAGTCTCTTAATTTAAGTGGATTTCCTTTTGATTCAAGCAAAAAACCGATTGAATCAAGAGTATTTTTTCTTGTCGATGTTTTTAAGAGTCTGGACTCTAGATCCAATGTGTTGTTTTTTTTCTAGTGTAGGAAGATAGGGGACTTTGTCGGGTGGGTGTCGCAGACCGCCAGAAAGTTCTGTAAAAGCGGCTTTTATGCATGCAATTTGACAACATCTGAAAGCTCATATGACGTTTTTCCACATCACGGCAGAGTAGAGGCTTAATGTCTACGTACCAGAACAACACTCGTGATGATTTTCTCGGAACCCGCAGAGCCAACCGCAAGCCGCACATTTCGATTTTCGTCCAGGACTATGACGGGACACATCGAGGAAAGAGGTCGCTTATACGGCCGAATGAAATTGGCCGGCGACGGAGGGTACGTTTGGGTTTGGGAGGTGTTGACAGATGGCAGCGAAAAATCGTCCATTTCATTGTTCAGCAGTATCCCTGTTGATGGCGACATGACGAAACTTCCGAAACTGAAACAAAAATTAACTGGTAGCACAAATATGGAAGAGAATGTCAAATGTGAAATGGAAAAAAAAAAAATGTGATGCTAGGCCGATCATAAAATTCATAGCACTCGGGGAATTGGGGGGGGGGGGTGTATTTTGAGCCTGGGTCAGGAGTTTGTTGCATGGGCAGAGGGAAGAGGAGTCCAGTACTGCATTAACGTTTAAGGTGAGAAATCAACACGAGTCGCTTTGCAATACGTGTTTTTCATGGAAGAGATACAGCCGTGTGAATAGACTTTCTAGTGGCAAATTGGCACAAAAATCACAATGGCAACGTTAGAAAGTCTGAAATTTACAAGAAAATAAACAAAAAATAAAAATAAACTTTTTGTCCTTTATCGGAAAAATCACGGCGGATTTTAATGTGTTCATATCCGTTCACCCGTATAACATAGGCAGTGAAAAACTTGCAATGTCGCAAATTGAAGTATGGATGTTTTTACCTCACAGTCGGTGAGGAGAAAATGTGTCACTGCACAAGCGCTAGTGTGTAATACCAGCGGCAATCAAGTCGAGGCGACGCTATGGAAGGCGCTCTGAGCAACTATACCACCTCAGAAGTATTGCACAGTATCAAACGTAATTGCAGGCGCACTGAGGCACGCGAATAGATCGGTATCGTTTACCACTGTGCGAAGTTCTACAGATCGTGCGAAATGCGGCTCCTGTTCGATCGATTTTTCTGAAACTTGCCACAAGGTGTCATTATTTGAAGGGAATAGGAATTTCAACTCGAATATTTATAATTCGAAATTCCAAAATGGTGAGTGTGGTCCACAACGCTATCTTGGCAATTCTTCGATCGATTTTTGTGAAACTTGTACTGGAAAAAACAAACACATTGGATCTAGAGTCCAGACTCTTGAAGAAATTGACAAGAAAAAGGACTCTTGATTCAATCAGATTTAAGCTTAATTCAAAAGGAAATCCGCTCAAATTAAGAGGCTTGGTTCTTGATTTAAGCTTAAATCTGATTGAATCCAGAGTATTTTTTCTTGTCGATGTTTTCTAGAGTCTGGCCTTTAGATCCAATGTGTTTTTTTCCAGTGTGGTATCATGGGGTATTTTTGTGCGTAAAAGTCGAATTTCTAGTCAAATTTTTAAAAGGCATGAATCGGAGATTGCAGCAGTGGCTTGTAAAAGAGGAGATGAACGTTGCTCAGAGAGACCTTTCCAAAAGTAAATTTCGTCTCTTAATCGATCTTGCCTAGAACTTCCACTTCGAGTATGATCTTACCATACTAAAATGACTTACTACAAATTAATGGTGCTCGATAAAACAACAGCATCTCCATTCGGAGCCAGAATCACTCTGTTCCCCGTGCCGTGGGCTGCTGCCGCTGAGAAATTTGCCCCGTAGTAGAACGGATCTTGTGACGTTGCCAGATTTGATATTTTCTCTTGTACTTGCTGGATGTGTTCCGGGTCTCTCATTAGGTCAAGGACCTGCATGTAAGAAACAAAATTTACCGATTTCAACGGATCTCCGTACTCTTAAAGGAAGCCTGTAATTCTTGATACGTTGGAGCGCCTTCAATTTCATACGATACTGTGCAACACTTCTGTTGTGAAATAGTTGCTCGAAGCGCCGTGGCGCCTACAAACCTAACAGGAATACCTCACGCATTGCGCAATGCGTGAAGTATCCCTGTTAGGTTTGTAGGCGCCAATGCGCGTGTCGCGCTGGCAGCACGCCGCGTGCCGCTCCGCTCTGTTTGGCTCTGATATGAAACTCGAGGAGTCAGCGTTTTCCAACTCATGATTTTGAAATATTTGCACTATGCATGAATTATTCTCTTTAAATTGAAGGAAGAAAAATAGGTGTTAAAGGAAAATATAAAGTGTGTTTTGTAAATATTAAGGTGGCTCCGTGTCAAATTTAATGATTTCCTAAGCCTTAATTTTTTCCTTTATATTTTGTGTTTTTACTGTGCTGCAGCGTGGTTTACGCGCAACCAAACGCTCAAAATTAGACGTATTTGACTCTAAAAGATCGATGTACAAATGGGTTAAAACCAAAGATTGCGTGCTTCTTGGTTTTTTCCCTCTTTTATTCATGTTTGTATAGTTCCTCTTAACACAATTACGGCTTATTGAAATTAATATCGATGCCATCGCTTGAAAAAGGTTTTACAAATATTTGCCATGTTTCAAAAATGTAATTGTTTTTAAAATGAAGTGATATTTCCATTTGAAAAATAGTATACATAGCTATAATTTATATCGAAAATTTTATGGATAGAAATAAAACCAAGTATTCACCAATGACAATTTAAAAAAATGAATCAAAAGAAGAAAAATACATTTCCTTTAAGAAATGAGTTACCTACCATAACAACACCTCCTTCTCTCTCAATTTACTCATTTTGATATTGTCATCACAATCTTACACGTGGACTAAAATATAACGCTTGGACCAAGTCACTGTTGTTTTTTTTTACACGTAGACGTAAACTACTGGACAAAACATCTGCGCTGACAAAGAATCGTTGACGGAATGTCCTGAAACGTCAACAATCATTTTGTCCCCGGAAGAGTGTACCCCGGTCCATGATAATTGTTCCGATTTAAATAATTGTTACCAAAAAGTAACATCGTAAACTCTACTAGAAAAGTAGGTGGAAGTAGGGTTCACAATGAGCATTGTAGGAGTAAGAATTATTTTCTTCCTTATCGATGGTGCGAAAAAGAAAATTAAAAAATCGAAGATATTCTCACATTTTTGACATCAACGAAATCAGGGTCACCACATTTCGTGCGCTGACCAAATCCAAATTTAAATGCCTCAACAATTTTGACAAAGTCTGTGGCTAGGTCCTCACCAGGAAGTATCCCATTCAATAACGACAGAATGTACTCAACAGTAGGTCCGGATGCAGGTAAAGGCGATGAGTATAAGTTCATTCCATCTTTGAGAGGCACTGGAACCGAAACTGCCTCTATCTTCACGCTGAATTACGCGAACAATTTAACATGATCAGTTCTACAATTGAAAAAAGTTTATAAGTGAACTTTGCTCTCATAAAATCGGCAATATCTACCGAAGATTCAGTAAATATTATTCCCAGGCTAAGAATAGATCTCGTATAATCTTAATTTTGAATGAGAGGGTTCGTGGAAGTTTCTTGCATAGTGCATGGGAAACTGGTTTTATTGAGTTACTCTAAAAATTAGCATAATCTAAGTCAGCGCCCTTTCTTTCATAAATTAGGGATCCCAGCCTATGCTTCCTCAATTGCATTTTCAGGGATTTAAAGGTATCGACGAAGATACAAGGAGAACCGTAAAAAAAGAATTTTTGAGGTTTTTCAGCGTTTGTCCGCACTGAATTCAATCCACGAACAGAAAGTTCAACGAAAACGCCTAGTTTTTCTTCCTCTTTAGTTTTAGGTTTCTGAGCCATAGACGGTCACACATCGTTGAGATGGCAAAATTATTCAATCGAAGTTTGTTAAATTCGGCAATTGCTCCCACCTTGCGTAATCACAATCTAATGTGTAAGGACGTTCGCAAACTTGAGAACATCTCACACTGGAAAAAAAACAAAAAAAAAAACGCATTGGATCTAGAGTCCAGACTCTTGAAAACATTGACAAGAAAAACGACTCTTGATTCAATCAGATTTAAGCTTAAATCGAAAGGAAATCCGCTCAAATTAAGAGGCTTGGTTCTTGATTTAAGCTTAAATCTGATTGAATCAAGAGTCCTTTTTCTTGTCAATGTTTTCAAGAGTCTAGATTCCAGATCCAATGTGTTTTTTTCCAGTGCACCAGAATGGTTTCAAATTCGACTGGTATATACAGAGAAACTTCCTATCGATTCCTTTAATTCCATTATGCCGTATTACAGGGAACACTCACGTGTATCTAGCCATATCCGCTTCTGTTATAATGCTGCCAGCGTCTCTCAAGTCTTCCACGAAGCTTTTTGACAATGACCCAGTGTAGAGCGCATCGCCGCCCTCCTGTCGTATCACTTTTAATGTATCGGCTAATTTTGGCCGGAGCATGATACCACCCTCTTCCACCAGCTCCTCTGTGTCAGGGTCCGTCAGCATTTCTCTATAATGGCATATCAACTAGCAATTGAATCGAAGAAAGTTAGACTAGTTCACATTTCATATATGAACTTCATTATGCAGTTTTGAACTACAATATTTGGCTTAGTTTAAAAATTCATATGTACCAATAGTTTCCCTGTGCACATGAAGGGGTTTTCGGATGGGCTAGAAATTTTAGTTCTTGATTGCAAAATGTAGTCCAAGTAACTCGGAGGAAGAATATGATATGTTGCAATTCTCCCGGACAGTGAGACAAAGTAACCGACATTTTGTGTTGATTTGGGAAGTAGAACACAAAGTAACCTCAACGTGCGGTTAATACTCTTTCTTCAGCCCTTTCTTGATTTTTATTGACCAAATCTTCAGTCTGCATCGATCAAATCTTTGGATTGAAAATTCACAACCACGTTAAAATCAGCCAGCCAGGGCTGGTTGAATTTAGATCCTGCTTTGCATATTGGTGATAGTTTCATCCGCTATAGCTACTCGCAAGTTGCAACCTACCTGCTATCACATAAGCTATTTTAATGTCTCATTAATTTAGTAATTACTAAGGTCCTTGATCCACCAGTTAGACTTAAGTTATGTAAATAGATGTTCAAGTAAAATTTCCTAGTACTGTAAAGTAGGAGAAATGAAATAAAGATTTAAAAAAAAAAAAAAAAAAAAAAAAAAAAAAAAAAAAAAAAAAAAGTTGCAACCTCCGAGTGTCATCCCGAGAAACATAAGTACATTAGTTCAGCTTATCTCAAGATGCCTCACTGTTACCTACAGTTTTAGTCGATTCAACCATAAATTTGGTCGATCAACCAAGCCTTTTTGGTTGATCTAACCGAAAAAAAGTAACCCAAAGTAACCATAAACACGGACATGTTTTACTGTATAATTACTTTTAAGGGTCTCACTTTTATCCAGTGATATCACTTTGGCACCGAGAATTCCTCGTTTGATATCATTGAACGCCACCATTGTAACGTGCCATACATTTTTTAAACAAGCAACACTCACTTTAGGAGAGTATATTTTTCAAAGTCGGGTGCCTTTTCTTTAGCGCGCATAGCAAGATTCTGAGTGACTGGAATGCCCTCTCTGCAAAGGTCGATCGTATCACCGAAAAGTTCGCTCCATTCAATTCCGCCTCCAAATCTTTTATAGATTTCCCATAGACCTTTTAGCTCGCCAGGAATTGCCATTGCAAGTCCACCTAGGAAGAAATAGAAAAAGAAATTACTCCCAAGAAAATGAGGGATGGAGTTTTTCTAGCACATAGTTTCATTTAGCATAAATACGTCCATACGTCGCATTACATAGCTTTCTCTCGTGCTTCACGACACCTAACCGCCCAATGGCGGTCCCCTTGTCGAACCACAACGCATTGGGCATCGGGCAACTTAACATAAATCACTCATGCGCTTTTAATTCTCCTCATTAGATCGGTGAATTAGAATCTGTGCTCACAGATATGGTTCCTTCCTGCTAAATTTTCCCTAAAATTTTCTGTCAGAAACACCACTTACAATTTTGTATCAGACGAAATGAACTTCAAAATTTCTTTCCCCCTACCACGTTCCATCGTGGGTTATATGCAGTGGACTTTCTGCACGAATTTTGCTTCGTTGGGCGCATTTAAATCAAGAAGAGCTATATCCATTCTAACACGGAAAAAACAAGACTAGTGTTGAGCACTACTGGCCGTTTAGTGGGGAGTAGTTGAGGGCTGGCGTCTAAGCGCTGTACAGCTCAACACCAGAAGGCAGTGCAGGTGGGCGCTGAACATGAGTAGTGCTAATCAGATGCCGCGAGACGTAGTTGCGCTTAACAGGTGTAAATTCACCCACAAGACGTCGTAGTCACGATAGCCTGGTGGTAACGCGCTGGTCTTCCACCGGCGCAACCCGAGTTCGATCCCAGGCGGGGACGTTTCATATTTTACGCTCGCTCCAAAGTCACTTTAGGGCTTGACACTACTTCTTCCTTAGTGACCCAGCCTCGAGCTGTTTAGTGCCCAGCACTCCTCTGACTTGCTGGCTCCATTTGACCTAACCCTCGTTAGTGCCCAGCACTAACATGTAGGTCCCAACCCTAAACTCGTTTTTTCCGTGAACATGAGCCTTGAACTCCATAAGAATAAATGCTTTATAGGGCCCATTTCAAAATGAATATAGTCTCTTTTGATTTAAATACGTCCAATTAACGTTATTACCTCGAAAACTACGTTTGTAGCCACTTTCCGTGTGCTCGGACACTTTTTCATGGAGGAAAATTTCACTATGTGTCAATATGACCTCTTTCATAGATTTGAGTACACATTGGCTTGTTTTCCTCCGCGAAGGAGGAGAATAACTCCAAGCCCGCCTTGCACATTAATTACAGCTGTTTGCAGAGCTGGGGCCAGCCTCCGAGGAAGGTCGCCAGATTGTCCGTTTAAATGTCCTTTTTGAAGCAGGATTCCATCGCCGACGGGTAAACCTGATAATTGGATTGGGCGTAACCGTTCTGGGCTGATGAATTATTAGTGAGGAGGAAAATTTGAAATTTATGAAAACTTCTTTCCTCATCAAAATTTCAAGTAACTACACAGTGGTCTTGAAGCATAACAAAAAATACGACGAAGATCTACCCAAAAACGGTTTGCAGCGGGTATGCAAATGGTATGTGTGGACTTATAGTTGCGAAAAATCAAAATCCTAGCTGATCCTAATTTCGAGTTATCGCCAGGCCCGCCACAAGGGGGGGGATACTGGGTCCCTGGTACCGGGGCCCGGGCCCTGGAGGGGCCCGTGACGCAGGTGACAAACCACTACGAATTCATGTGTAACCCTTGTCTTGTAGGGAAAAGTGAAAAAATTACCCTAAAATTCCGCAAAAGGTGAATAAAGTTTCAAAAACACGTTAGGGCACTTTAAAATTTTTTTTACTTTTTTAGAGATTTTCAAGATTTTGAGTATATGTAGAATGATATTTTTAGTAACTGTGTTTCATTTTCTTCCGTTGTCGGGTGCTAAGAGGCTCCTTTCTGGGCATCCTCGACTTCAATGACTTAACTCCCTTGCCATAAACGTACAAAAGGGGAGTCCAGGGGGGCCCGGCTCCCCATAGAATTGAAAATTATCATCTGCCCCCTCAAAAAAAAATTTATAGATGTTTTGAATGCAACAATTCGAAAGTTTTTGGTGCTGAAAGTAAACAAGAAGGCGTAATTATTCTGCAGAAATTGATGGAAAATCTCCATCATAAGAGCTTCATAATGCGTCCAAATAGATTTAAAATTTCAAAAATTTCCCGGGGGAGGCCCCCCGGCCCCCCCCCCCCGTGCTAGGGGCCCGGGCCAGAAAATTGGTACCAGGGCCCGAGATGGGATGTGGCGGGCCTGGTTATCGCAATTTGAAATTTTTACAGTAAATGCATGCAAGTTTTCTACTAATTTTGATCCGTTTTTTTTTATTTATTTGTCCATAGAATCGACGTTGATCGGTTTATCACGTTCTTATTTTTCGTTCGATTTGCATCGATCGAATACTTACCCTCTCGTTACATGCGTAGACCTCCCTTCATACTCTTTTTTTTAACTGAACAATTCGCCTTCTGCTGCGTCTGCAGCGATTGTTGTTACGCATATGCTGTGCGCACTGATTTCAGCTCATTACATACTTGACTCTCTGAAGCGTTTTTTTGTGCAAAAGTAATTCGCCTTCATCTGCATCTGCAGCAATTGTTGTTATACATATGCTGTGCGTGCTGATTTTAGTTCATTACATACTTAACTCTGTGAAGGCGCTTTATGTGCGCAAGTAGCGCAATCTGTCGGAATACGAACGAAGCGAAGTAGGTATTGAGCAATTAATTCAATCTCACTTCTATTGTTCTCAAATAGGGTGCGCTACTTGCGCACATAAAACGCCTTCAGAGAGTCGAGTATGTAATGAACTAAAATCAGCACGCACAACATATTCGTAACAACAATTGCTGCAGACGCAGCTGAAGGCGAATTGTTCAGTTTAAAAAAAATCGTACGATAGGAAGTCTGCATGTAACGCGAGGGTATGTATTCGATCGACATGCGCTGAAGATGTGTCAAGTATGGTGCGAATGAGCCTTCTTCTCTCATTACTTGTCGGAAATTATCGTGGAATATGTCACACGATCGAACCTTGCCATCAATATATCAAGGTCAAATGCAGTGATTGGTCCAAGTCATCGAATGAGCCAATCACATCACCTAGCCTCGATATATTGAAAGCACGGTTTGATCCTGTGACTTCAGCTACTCAGCTCTCCTAATCTCGTCGATCGAGTCATCAACTTTATTATGATTTACTGGCGGATAAAGAGAAAAGAAACGGCATTGGGCTTTTGTGGGGTTTTAAGCTCGAGTGAAGAGAAGAAATGAAAGTCGGGAATTTTAAATAGTAAAAATTAAAAGGTGAAGTAACTAAGAATGGTGCGAAAACATAGTAGAAAGTCCTGACCCGGAAACATAGCTGGAATGTGCTTATATCTGTAATATACCCGCTTTTTGTCAAAACGCTGGAATGAAACCAGTATTTTATCAAAGTTGTGCATTCGATATTTAAATGTTTGCTCATCTTTGCTATAGACTTTCCTTAGTAATGATCGTCTCTCCTGAAGTTGTCATGAAGGATTTCTAATTTTGGAAAAAAGTATAAGTGTGCTCCACTGGAATTTGTGAATAGCTACTTGAAACGTGTGATGTGAATGTCTCTACTCTCAACATTCCCACCCATTTGCCCTTTACCAGTTACCGATATTTGAATGTTTGCTCACCTTCGCTATAGACTTTCCTCAGCAATAATCGTCTCCTCTGAAGTTATCACGAAGGATTTCTAATTTTGGAAAAAAGTATAAGTGTGCTCTACTGGAATTTGTGAATAGCCACTTGGAACTTGTGACGTGAATGCCTCTACTCTCAACATTCCCACCCATTTGCCCTTTACCAGCTACCGATATTTGAATGTTTGCTCACCTTCGCTATAGACTTTCCTTAGCAATAATCGTCTCCCCTGAAGTTATCATGAAGGATTTCTAATTTTGGAAAAAAGTATAAGTGTACTCTACTGGAATCTGTGAATAGCTACTTGAAACTTGTGATGTGAATGCCTCTACTCTCAACATTCCCACCGATTTGCCCTTACCAGTTTTTGTGATGGTCGTATTTCCGTGGAACATGTCCGCCGAAGCTGCACCAGGAGCCATCTCTCGAGCGTTTACCGCGTAGATCCTGTCCTCGGATTTCTTGTAATATAACATGACAAAACCACCGCCGAGCCCAACGTTATGGGGGTAAACTACACCATCGCAAAGGGTAGCTACGATCATGGCATCGACTGCGTTCCCGCCGCGCTTCAAAATATCCCTTTAAAATAAGTGTGAAATAGTTATCCTTAGAAAAATATAGTTGAAGGAAGAAAATTAAATTGAAACTATTTTACACAAACTGCACTGAAAAAAAGTGCTCGGCGTTTTTACCAAGGTCCGTTGGTACCTTTACCATCTCACTTCTTTTTACCAATTATTGGTAATTTTACCGGTATTCGGTAATTTTTTTACTTTTTATTTCAGGTAAGAATACCACTTTTATTGGTAATCAATGCCCGGTAACTTTGCCATTTTATCTCAGTAATTCTATCACAGTCGATAAAAAATATTGGCGTTTTTACCAAGGTCCAGTAAAATTACCGAGAAAGTTCAATACCGAGATTTCTCGGTAAAACGACCAATTCCATAAATGGTAATTTTACCAAGAAAAAACTTGGATCAAATAGAACCCTGAATTCTTGGTAATTTTACCCTTTTCTTAGTAAATACACTGAGATTTTTTTTTCAGTGTGATTGCGGTGGACACACGGGTCATAAGACGGGATGTTGGATTTTTTTTAAAGGTAGCAGGATGTAGGAGTTTTTTTTTTTTTTTTTTTTTTTTTTTTTTTTGAGTGTGGCTTGTCTAAAAAACTCCAACATCCCGTTAAACTATTTTAAATTCTGTGATGGAATAATAATTTCACGATTTTTTTTTTTACCAGAACCTGCCTAACTACATCGCGGGTTGCCTTATCACTTTGCATATCTTTCTTGGACCGCGTTAAGCAGAAAGGAATCAAGCCACATCTGCTATTGCCAAATTGAACTGGGCAATTTAATTTTTTAACTGGAAAAACGCATCTCGCGTGCTGTCATGATAAAGATGAGGAAAAAGTATACCGTAACACGCAAATTATGGTTGTTGAAGAATAATTTATTAGCTTGACTAAATTATTCTTCAACAACCATATTTTGCGTGTTACAGTGTACTTTTTTCTCATCTTTAACTTTTTACATAAAAACGGTTGTGCAAATTTCAGTGAATTTTCTTCTGAGTACAAAGCAAATTCCTTGAATTTTTCAAACGAATTTGCTTATACGCTCTATTGTAAAAAATTAAATTGCTCAGTTAAGATTGGAATTAGCGAATGTGACTCGGTTACTTTCTAGCTAGACGCGGTCCACGTATAACAGTAAACTCAGCAAAATTCCTTCTAGTATAAATTACCTGAGTGTCAAGGCGTTATGTTATTTATTCCCTCTTAAAAAAGTAAGAACATGAGATAAGATTTTGCAACATGGAATGTAGTTAGGCTGATTCTAGTGAAATCAAGGTTGTCAAATCATGTGATAAAATGATATAGCTAATATGGCATTTTCTTCTAGCACGGCAACGTAGTACCCTACAGTGGCGATTCTGCAAGTTGGCAACACCGCTTTCTCTCCATTTAAATCCTTTAAAAATATCGATTTCAGGTGGGGCAAGCTGCCTCACCAAGAATCGATTGTTTTACATACATTTAAATGGAGGATCAACACTGCTGCCAACTCCAAGAATCGTCACTGGTACCCTGACTTCATTTGGACGTATTTATGCTAAAAAGAACTTTGTAAAAAATGAATCAAACAAAGAGGAAGCATAGGAGTTGCGTGCCACATAGTTCCGTTTGATTTGGACTGCATTTTGCAATTTGGATCTATAAAGTCCGGCCTGGTTTAAAAACAACGTATGTGCCATTAGTTTCCCTAAGTGTGAGTGTGGCCACGTAAGTGTTTTCTCAGATGAGCCAGACTTTATAGGTCCAAATAGCAAAATGCAGTCCATTTAATGATGCAATGGAATTTATTTTCTTTCATCATAAAGAAGCCGGACGGATCTTTCATTAAAAATTCCCGGTGTTACAATGTACATAGCATCTTCAACTTACCTTGCAATAGGGGCGCAGATCTGTGATATAGTTACAACAGCGGCCTCCTTGAAAACACCCATGCTGCCCCCTGAGTCTTGCTCCTCCCCGCACCCACACGAGGTCTCGGTTGTTGAATTGTCATCCTCAAAGCTTTGCACTCCAAGAGACAAAGACACGATAATCAGCCTTAGAAGCAAACCACTTTTATTCATATTTCCTCTGAAATGAGGAATACTGTCATTACTTTCCCGGAGAAAGAGAAGCAAAAGCTAATGAAAAGTTCAGAATTTTACTCCTTAAGAAGTTGTGAACCGTGTTCAGCGAACTGCATTTTTTTACTAGATGACATATCTGAAATGCTGTTTAGTCAATTCTGAACTTTAACTTTTATGTTTTGCTTAAGAATAGATTTCTGGTATTTGGGTGGATCAGAATGAATACAGGAAAAATATTCAAGGAAACGTTTTATAAAGAACGTAAGCTCTTTTTTTCTTTTTTTCCCTGCAATACAAGAGGGATAGTATATACGGATTGCGTTAAACAGAAATGAACCAAGCCACATCAACTTTGGCGAAATTTAATAAGGCAATACAATTTTTCACATGAAAACGGTTGTGCGGAATTTTGTGCACAGTTCAGTGAATGTTCCGCATAGTACGAAGCAAATTACTTAAAATTTTCAAAGCAATCCGCACAAAGACGTTCTCTTGGAAAAAATTGAACTGCCCAGTTCAATTTGGCAATGGCTGATAAATCACAGTAATTCGCCCGAAGCAAATTGAGGGACCCAATTAGGCTGTCAGATCAGACTTGAAATTCATACAGTACTTACGATGATTTGGACCGCGTTAAACAGAAAGGAACCAAGCCACATCAGCTATCGCCAAATTTAACACGGAAATTACATTTTTTACGAGAGAAGGTCTATGCAGATTTCTTTGAAAATTTTAAGGAATTTTCTTTGTATTATGGAGAAAATTCACTGAATTTTGCCCAAAAATCCGCATAACCGTTTTCATGTAAAAACTTAAAATGCCCGATTAAATTTGGCAATAGCGGATGTGGCTTGGCTCCTTGCTGTTTAACGCGGTCCATTTAAAGAAGAATAAGGCACAGTAAACTAAAAAATTCTAAAACATAGAATTGAACCATCCTCAAATTCATAAGGTAGAATATTCCCAAAAAGGGTCAAATGTGTAAACTAAGAATTTGCAATATTTCTACCCTCTCTTTCCCCTCTCCCCCTAAAACCCACGCGTATTGCAGGTTTACGCACCTCTCCAAAAAAATACGTAACGAGCCCCTTGCCCCTCCAAAAAGGAGGAAAATACCTAATAAACCTCAGTCATTACTATGCTTTTTTTAGTTGTGAAAAAACGAAGCGTCTATGTAGCTAGCGTCACGCAACGCAGACCTACCCCCTCTTCCTGCAAGCGTTTCGTCATGCCGACCAAAAGTTTTAGAATGTTGCACACATGTGGCGGGGAATGCAATTAAAACACGCCGCTCGTAAAGCAAACACTTCGCTGAAGAATAGCAAGTTCTTGAGGCATCACGCCCGATTTTAATTTCAAATGTTTACAATTAGTTCTAAAAGTGGATACGCACATCAGTCGCATCGCAGGCGAGTGGATGAACTTTTGTCGCGGTTGCATTTCGGCACGGGAAAAATTTAGAAAATCTGAACAAATCCGTTTTATAATTGAATCAGTGAGTTCGAAAACACTCCAACTCGGAAAAAAATTGTTCAGGAAACACCTATAACTGCGCAGCTGGCGAAGAAGTTAGTGTGAGAAAAACCTTTTTGGTGTTAGAGAACAAGTACTTAGAGACTTTGTAAAGCACCAAGTTGAAATCGATACATCATGTTTGATGACAGAGAATTAAGCGTTTAAAAATTTCCGAGTTGGTGTGTTTTCGTTCTCACCGACTTTCGGATACTGATTTTTCATAGTCTGCCCTGAAAATTTATATTTTTCGACCTAAATAACGCTAGAATATTTATATAACTTGTTGGTACAAGGTAAACTGAACCGAAAAAAGAAAACCGCAAAATCGGATGATCACCCGTTTCCCTTGAAATGACCAAAAATTGGTATTTCCAATGAAATACCTCGATTCTTCCCTTTCCCCGTCGCTGTTTCGAGCACTTCCGATTGCAATTTCGAAATTTCCTTTTGCGTGCAGATACTTCAATCCATAAGTTTTACTAAACCGTAAAAAAGTGAAAATCGAAAAAAACCCGAGTTTGTGTGTTTTCGAACTCACTGATTCAATTTTAAACGAATTTTTCACGTCATCATAGCCGATGTGAGTAAGTATTTCATTACACTGCCTCATTACCAAAGAGGACAATAAAGACCAGGTGTGTCCAATTGGTTTTTTTTTCAAATTGTCATCAATCTAAGATAAATGGACTACACAATTCCACCAAAACAGCATTTGCCTGAAAATTACGAGGGTTGTCGGAGAGAACAGTAAATTCACCAAACTTGACATCGCTCCCGACGAAACAGCAGTAAGTCCACCTGATCCCGCGAAAGAACCACTCTCACTGCTGTCTGCTCTAAAATAGTGTCCTTACCTACCGACATTTCACCTTTCGATTTTTTTTTTTTTAATGCACGGATGTCTTGCATAACATATTTGTAAAATAAACAAGTATTTTTTTTCAATGAAATTCTGTAGACACCCACAAGAAAAACATATCATCCAAAAATACTTAAAATTTTTTTAAAAAATCACTTGCATGTAAAATTTTTACTGGTGGACACCTTGATTCGCGCTGAGATTGCCGGAGGTGTTAGCCGGCGAAACGGGTCCGCCAGTAAAAATTTTATGCACAAGTGAGTTTTTTTACTTTATTTAAGTATTTTTCATTGACCTCTTTTTTACAGTTAGAGGTAAAATTCTTCGGCCCCCCTCACTGGAACGATTGGACTTTATTTAGAAATTAGGAACTACAATTCCTGACTCATTTGTAAAAGCACTTATGTGCATACGCAAACCAATGGCCCATAGGTCGTTTCTGAAGTTAGCTGGAAATAAGAGTTCCTATTTGCAAAATGTAGTCCGATAAATAGTCCTGTGGATGTCTATCAAAGGAAAACGGAGGACGGACTTAATGAAGTTTTCCGGTCGAACAGTTCTATACCTATTTTTGCAAATCTTCTTCTTTTAATTTACCGCTTTCTCCAGCACGACGACAGTTTAGAGTAAAGATAAAAAATTGACGATACTGAATCATGAACTCACCTATAAAAGTGACGGAATCCTTGCAAATGTTATATTATTACATAGCGTGATTTTTCTGTCGTATCATATTCAGCGGCGATTGATAAACATTATCCTCAACTTTTTTCTTCAGATTGGTTCTGCTTTCCTGTAGCTCCTCTAATATACTAAATTGAGCACGCTTTTTTTCCCTTATTTGAACAGGTGCTCATAATGGTGAGGTAGTTTGCGCCAAATCTCATCGAGTTAAAGACATTAACCGAATGAAACAATAAATATCGCATGTAAAGCAGGAGTGACTCATTATGGCTTATTTACGCTGGAAGGAACTGTGTGCGTAGGGTTTATATGCAACACAGTTCCTTTTAGCAGCACTAGATTTATTTAATGTTTGGATCAACCTGGTTTTCCACTGTGAACGTTTTCGCTTAAATATCTAGACGTTTATTTCCGCCCTTGAGATTCACCAAAATGAATCAACCTAAATCTAGAAACTCCAGTCTCTTTAAAATTGAATACCGTCAAATTTCCGTGAGGTCCAAAGACCGTCCGTTGTGGCACTTATAATTCTTTCCTTTCTGTCACATAGAATCTTGCTTTGTGAGCAGGTTTTGGTAGCCGGAAGTTCGGTTAGGTTGGGTCTAGAGAGACAAGTGGTGAGAAATTTTTCTTTTCAAGTCAAATTGTTGGAATATTTGTACTTAGGTAAGATCTCAACCGAACTTCAAGATTGATCTCCATAGTGGAGACATTAATATGAGATTGTTTTGAAATTTTTGACCAATCATGAATATAATAATAAAAAAATAATAATTGTAAAAGAAAAATTGACAAAAATTTTTATTGGAGCTGATATGTTGAGTAATACATCAAGTATGAAGTGATTTCAAAATACCGTTAGAATGATTTTATTCCCTGGTCAAGTCCATACAATTAGAATAGGTCATGGTCTAACGTTAACAAAGGTGAGAAATCGGTTCTTTATTATATTTCTGCCTGATTCAGATCCATCCGGGATAATGGTTCATTTTTTACTGTATTATTACGATTTCTTTCTTGCATTACGATTTTTTAAATGTATTTAGTAACCAGCCAGGCCTCCTGGTCTCCGGAAGTCGTTAGCAGCCGTCATCTTTCCACCACTTTTGGCGATTGCGGTTATGGCCGAATAATAAAACCCGCGTTTAGTCATCTCAAGCTTATGACCTGCTTTTCTCAAAGCTTCTACCACACTCTGAAACAATATGAAAAAAGCCAGAACAATTATATAAAAGCTAGCATTCGGCAGTTTTAGCTAGCTATGCTAAATTGAGGATCTCGAAAAGGTGGTTGGAAAAATATTCTTCCAGACACATTATGAGCCACTAGATAGAGTACACAGTTAAACGCCACAATATTTCCCTCGAAACTCCATATGAAATACGGTAGATGAATAAAAACTTTCGATATTCAAGTCATGAGTGAGGTAATGACGTTTTTCGTGTATGATATGTAGATTCACTTCTCCAGTACACTTGAAAACCTGAGTTTACTCGATTCAAATCAAACATCAAACTAGAGGAATAATTTATCTGCGTGTTTAATTTGTTTGTCAAGATCAGACGAATCCAACGCGTAAGGTTGTTCACACGAAGTGGGTCGATTTGACCTGTGTTTGGCTTTGCCATGAGGAGGAAGATCAAATTAAATTTCTTGAAGTAAACTGTAAATTCTCAATTGTGAGATCTTTCTCTCTCTTTCTCCTTCCTCCCTCCCTCCCCTGCTGCCTCTCCACTCCGCAAATCGGACTCCAACCAACAGATTATCGTCAATAATGAAATGATACAACTATTCAAGCTTCCGTGTGTTGCACAGTATCATTCTCAATTGAAGGCGTTTTTTCTTTCCTCGAGTCGGGCTATCCTTCTGACCTCACACCGTCTTCCTCTCTCGCTCTCTCTCCCCCCTCTCTCTCCCCCACTACCTTGCTCCGTCTTGTCACGCACTGTGACTTGCATATCGACGGTGAAACTACGAAACCACGTATCTCGGTTTGCGACGTCGCAGACTTCCTGTCATACTTTATTTTTTAAATGAAAAACTACTTAACATCCAGTCTCGAAAATTTCCGTGATTTTTCCTCTTCGTGCGGAGAAAATTCTGTGAAAATTTCAAGGAATGATATTGATTTGGTCTACTTCAAAAAAATAAAATGCGAGCGTAGATTTTTAAACACCGCAAACGAGATACGTGGTTTGGTAGTTTCACCGTCGATATATAGTATTTGCACGTACTTGCAGAGTTTCCCTCTTCAACCTCGGTCAGTTTCAGCGCATCAGCTGTCCTTCTGCACACGCTGTTTCTCACAGCCTCTCTTTCTCTCTTCTGTAATTTTTGTTTAATATCTCTACACCGATTTTGTCTTAATTTTCCCTTTCTGCTGTTACCGTTTCTACTCCTATTTTCGACAACCCTAGTCGGAATAGTCACAGTCAGGCTCTCGGCATTCCACATACCAAAAACGGTCTCCAAACACCAACTTAACGGACTTTACTATGTTTTGGGTCGACTGGTCCAAGATAACTTACCCTTTTAAGACCGAATTCGGAGGTGGCGCGCATGGGAGTAAGTTGGTGATGAACTCGCGGGTAATCGACGGCTTCTTTGATAGTTTTGTTGTACCAAAGGTTCATGATGTAAACCTGGAACATATCAAGAGGTACATTATACATCGTTGATCTTATCCCATGAGACAGACCGTCACGGAAAAAACAAGACTAGTGTTGAGCACTACTGGCCGTTTAGTGGGGAGTAGTTGAGGGCTGGCGTCTAAGCGCTGTACAGCTCAACACCGGAAGGCAGTACAGGTGGGAACTGAACATGAGTAGTGCTAATCAGATGCCGCGAGACGTAGTTGCGCTTAACAGGTGTAAATTCACCCATGAGACGTCGGAGTCACGATAGCCTGGTGGTAACGCACTGGTCTTCCAACGGCGCAACCCGAGTTCAAGTCCAGGCGGAGGCGTTTCATATTTTACGCTCGCTCCAAAGTCACTTTAGGGCTTGACACTACTTCTTCCTTAGTGACCCAGCCTCGAGCTGTTTAGTGCTCAGCACTCCTCTGACTTGCTGGCTCCATTTGACCTAACCCTCGTTAGTGCCCAGCACTAACATGTAGGTCCCAACCCTAAGCTCGTTTTTTCCGTGGTTAAGGTCCAGGTCCTTTCGTTAAGGTCCAGTTACACGATCAAATTGAGCCATCAAATTGGGCCTCTCATTGGTCGCATCCTCACCTCAGGTCTTTTTCCACCAATCAGAGCTTCAATTTTATGGCTCAATTTGATCGTGTAACTGGACCATTAAGTTTACTTTACCATAATCTCGAACGAAGACGTAACTCCGTTTTCTATTTTCCTCAAAGTGCGCGGGAACTATTGACAGTAGGAATAGACGTATACACTTCGAATACTAAGTTTCGAGTAGCGCCATGAAAAGAGTATAGGCGTACTCTATATCTCACCCTTTTACCTTCACTAGAAAAAAAACACAATGGATCTCGAGTCTAGACTCTTTAAAACATCGGCAAGAAAAAGTACTCTTGATTCAATCAGAATCTAGCTTAAATCAAGAACCAAGCCTCTTAATGTAAGCGGATTTCGTTTTGATTCAAGAAAAAATCTGATTGAATCAAGAGTATTTTTTCTTGTCAATGTTTTCAAGAGTCTGGACTCTAGGTCTAATTGTCTTTTTTTCCGAGTGTTCCTCATCAAGGTTCGAGAACCGGAATATGGCGATAAAGTATATAATATAGTGAATAGGGTGGAGAGGGGGGGACGTCGCCAACTTCCGAAGGTTTCAACCTGCTATACTTGCTGCGAACTTGCGAACTGATCGAGGAGTTTTTTTCAAACTATTTTTCTCAAATTACGCTCAATGTGTGATCAGAAAAATTTGCCGTCTTGAAGTTTCAATCTAAGCAACAATAAGAGTGAATCAAACGAATTGAGTGCGTCTTCAATCACTCAAACCATCCCTTCATTTGAGGGTCCTTAAAAACCTAATGAAGGTTTCCAAGCGTTAGGCCAATCAGTAACAGGCTTTCCGTTTTCCATACTCTGTCTGTGAAGTTGAGGCACTTCAAAGATGTAGATCCCAGGGTTAAACACTCAANGGGGGGGGGGGGGGGTTACTGTAAAAGTGTCAATCGACGCATTGAGAAAAGAAGTGCGGTCGCACTGTTCGACTCATGTAACCGATCCCTCGATTCATGCAACTAACCTTTCAAATCAAACCAAACTGTAAGGTCTCGATAGACGATCGAATTCCCGAACCAATTATCATCAAAGTGTCGGGAGTCATCAGTCTTAAACTCATTAATTTCCTTAATTTTAAAATCAACAGAAATGAAATGCAGAAATGTTTCCTGAGACAGGAAATGATGAATGGTGGCACTATCCATTCTGATCTTACTTTGAAAAAAATAGTGCGTCCTGTCAACGTTTGATGGTAGATGGTGACCATCAGTCATCAGCATGTCTACTTTGATCGGAATTGGTTCGGAATTTGATCGTCGATCCAGGGCCATAGAAAGCTCGATTGCATGAACCGAGGCTAAGGTTCTTAGAACCGAGAATTCGGTTACATGAACCTAACAGTGCGGCCGATACTGAACAGTGAACATCGTATTCAGAGCTCAAAAAGACTTTTTTTTTCTCGGTGTAGAACAACCCCTCTGCATGCAGTCTAGCAGTTTAATTCTGGAACACCCTGTATGAATACAGTTTGTATATCTGAGCTACTCGCACCAGAGCTGTAACGGTGGGAATACGTGCGCCTCCGGCTGCTCCAACCGCAAGCCGCACATCTCTATTCTCGTCGAGAACTATGATCGGACTCATCGAGGTCACGGGGCGCTTGTACGGACGAATGAAGTTGGCCGGTGCCGAGGGCAAGTTTCGGTAGTCGACCAGTGACGGAGCAGTGAAATCCCCCATGTGGTCATTCAGTATGATACCAGTAGACGGCGACATGACGCAGCTTCCAAAACTGGAACAAAAACTAATGGAATCAGGCAAAAATACCGTCATAAATATGAATGGTAGTTAGCCTATACTAATGACGTGATCTGTATATGTGCCATTTAATCGGTGTTAATAGACCACTAGACAAGATACGAATTTGAACAATCTGATACATGTTTCTTAATCAGAATTTCACGTAGAACACGATTCACCCAACGGAAATTACTGAAACCAACTCCTAACAAAGATATTAACGTTTTTATTTCACATTGGCTACAAGGAATTCGAACTGCCAACTGCCCGCTCACAAGAAACTCAAAGCTCTACGCGAGTCAAATCGCGCACTACAACGGTTTCTGCATGCCTCTCAATCGAGCAATGTTCATTTTCCACCATGTGTTGTTCAAACTATAAGAAATTTGCTACAGCTGAGCCAAAGCGTCAAGACTGAGGTTGCCAGATTTTTACATCGCAGAGACTGTCATGATAACGTTTAGCGCGCGATGTGAATCACGTAGAGCATTGAGTTTTAATGAGCGGGTGGTTTGAATTCACGCATCAAGAATCATCAAATATCTTCGTAAGGAGTTAATTTCGGTAATTTTCTATGTGCGCATCGTGTTCTACGTGAAATTTTAGTTACGAAACATGTATCAGAATACTGAAATTCGTACCTTGTCTAGTGGTCCATTGCAAACAAGAAATTGTTCGACATCCCGTTGTTTGATTCGTTTTCCTCATGAACTTTTAAAGAGAACAGTTGTTTCGTAGTGCTTCGATGCATAATGTCGAGAAGCCAATTCATACCATGACTGGTGCAATTCGAGTAAAAATCTTTACTCTCATGACCATATAGAATAACCTACTTTTAAAAGGAAGGAGAGGGCACTGTTGAAGCGGAATGATTTTAAAAGCGTCCGGGTGGTGTTCTTAGAAGAGGAAACAAATCATTCAAAGTGCCGAAAATTTAATGAAAGTCCTCTGTATGAAAATGATTTTCACCTCTTAAAACTAATAAATGCAGCAGATAATTTGAAAATTCTTAAATAGAATAACTAATACTATTTCTCTCGATTTGGTTTCGAATTATAAAATGAAAAAGACGTATTCTTGACTCACTACTCACTACAAGTTTATGCTTCCCGTCATAACGGCAGCATCTCCGTTGGCAGCTACGATTACTCTGCTTGCTGTTCCATGATCCGCTGTTACTGAGAAATTCGCGCCGTAGAAATTCGGATCTTGTGACGTTTCCAGCCTCGAGATTTTCCTCCGAGTTTCCTCAATATGTTGCGGATCTTTCATAAGATCGAGTACCTTTAAGAAAATGAGGATATTGTATTAAGAACGAGAACTGGGCCAGTTACGCGTACCTAGAGGCGTGAACTGCGTTTGATGGGCTGATATGATTTAGCAGAAAAAAAAACATAGTGAGATCCCTCCAAACCCTATTTTTCTACGTCCAATAATGTTAGAGATATTGCCTCTCAAGAACCATGTTAATGACTTCTTCCATTCGTTGTAGTTCATGTGACTTATCTCATCTTGGTTCAGTATATTTATAAAAGCCTTATTTGCAATGATTGCTCAACGTATATTACTGATGGATTATACGATGTGTAGGAAATCCGTTAAAGATTTCGAACATTGCTCTTTTTAAATTTGAGGTAAATTTACTCTATGAGGAAAATAACATTGAGATATTAAACAAATTTTGCTAAAAGGCTTTTTTTACTTTAGATTTTTGGCAAAAAACGGATTCGTCGCCCTCAAGTTCGTCGTCATAGCTATTTCTTCTCCCAAAAAATATTTTAATGAAGGTAAAAGTATATGAAGTAAAAATACTACATTTAGAATAATTAACTTGAATATTTAGTTGTTGCATTCGGATACTGTGAGTGGTCTCAATGTTTTAAAAAATAGATTTTTTTCAGAGTAAACAGCAAAAATGCGCCTTTAAGCGTGATGGATCCGTTTTTCGCTTAAAAATTTAATGTGAAAACAGCATTTTAGTAAAATTTGTTCGATTTCGATCTCTTACCGTGCAGTATTGACGTTGAAAGGTATCAAACCCCAGCAGCACTCACATCTTTGACATCCACGAAATCAGGATCACCACATCTTGTGCGTTGACTGAATCCAAATTTGAACGCCTCAACAATTTTGACAAAGTCCGTGTTCAGATCATCACCAGGGAGCATGCCGTTCAACAAAGACAGAATATACGCGACAATAGGCCCGGATCCAGGGAGAGGTACCGAGTATAACGTCATCCTGTCTTTAAGAGGGGCTTCAACTGGAGTCTCCTCAATTTTTACACTGAATTAAATGGGGAAAAAAGGAAAAATTACCGTCATTCTTTCTCGGAGTAAAATTGATTGATTACAGCTGAGTCGAAGCTAACCATGGATACTATTTTCGGCATCTTTGCATGTGTAGATTGCTCAATAGAGTTGATACCTTATTACATTTAAAGAACCCTGCGATAAAGAATGGTCGGGAAGGAAATTTATTGCGTCAAAAATAGGTGTTCCTCATAAATGTCATTCGAAGTTAAGAAGTTTGTGATCAAGCATAGGATTTTACATGAGATCCTAGGAATTTTCACCACGGTGCCGAAATAATCGTCAACTTTGATAAAAAGAGAATTTGCAGAAGGAATTTCTATTGCATCTCATGAAAGTGCTTTATAAGCGAAGTTGACGGTATATTTTATTCAATTTCTGACTGATTTTTGAAATTGGAGACAAACAGTCATTAAAATGAGTTGATTTTCCGGCTTTTCAAGTGGATTTTTCTTATGGCAATTGGTGAAAATTATGGTTAAAAGCATTTGATTCCCACTTTTTTTTTTGCATAATTTTCTAGTTTTATGAGAAAAATTTCACAGAAATACGATGACAGTGAACATCAATGGAGGTTCATGAGGTGGTTATGAAGTGGCCAGTAATAGTATGAAAGGCATGAAGTAAGGCATCCATTTCACGTTTTTCAGTGCCAAAATTGGTGATAACTTACGTGTACTTTTTCATGTCTTCCTGTGTTATAATACTACCGGCTTTTTGCAAATCCTCCACAAAGTCTTTTGACAAAGATCCAGTATACAGTGCGTCACCGCCTTCCCTTTGCAAAACTTTAAGAGTCTCAGCTAATTTCGGTCGAAACATCAAGTCGCCCTCTTTCAAAAACTGCCCTGTCTTAGAATTCGTCAGCATTTCTCTACAAAATGAAGCAAAGATATTGGAAAAAACTATAGTTTTGTTTTTGCATTTTTAATTTCGGTACTCTTATTTTTTCCGCAATCAAGGAAAAGAGATATAATATGGGTGTGTTGGCGCGTGTACGTAGTATACCGTCTTTGCGATCGTTTCGACCCCCCACTCGATACAATAACCGAGTCCCTTAGTTCCTTACCGAAAAGTGACTACCGCGAACTTCTGAGATTTTCCAAAGCGTGTAAAAAGTTTATTTATCCGTCAATAATTATGATTTAAAGTTGTTTCTCATTCTGGGGCTCCCTAGTTTATGTGCAGTGAATACCAAGAGTCTACGTTACTTGGTTTTTTTAAAAAAAAGTCTAAGAGTACGACGCGCTGATTTAAAATATGCATATATAAGCAGAAACAAGCGAACTGATTTGAGGATGGCTGATCAGGCCGGCACTCGTTGAAAGAGAATGTCACTTCTTCGTTTTGTTTAAAACGTTGCTTTGACAGATCTCTACAACCCTGTTAAGAGTTTCAAAATTTGGTACCCCTTGCTCTGATAGCCGGGGCCAGCAGGATAGTGGTAAGTGCAATCTATGATGAGCCTCGAGACTCATTAGACTATGTGCTAACCGTGGCCCATACAGAAATTCACTCCCCTATCAGGCCAAAACAGTGCACAGGCAGGCACAAAACCCAGGTAGTGTCCCGGTCCTGGCTCGGTTCGCCGCGTCGCTTCCCAGCTGAAGAGCAAAAGGCGACCCTCGCGGTCCTCGTCACAGTCAGACCTAATTACTTTCACTCGATTACCCATTTCACCGTCACGCTGGGATCCATCAAATTTTCGAAAAAAATTGTTTCGCGAGTACTTAGCAATTTTTTCCTTACTCTCCGTTCAAAGACGAATTGAAAGAGGTCTCATTCATAAAAATCGGCCGAAGAGAGGAGAAGTTGCAGTATTCGAAATTCGAAGAAATCAACGAAACTTCTCCAAACAAAAAATAAAATGAAGGGGGAAAAAGAAATGTATAAATTACAATTAAATATAATTGACCTCAGAATTAGGCAAGCAATTCAACTATATAACGGAGAAAAAATTGGGAGAAATTACAAAAAATTCGCCTCTTGCAAGGGGCTTCCTTGTAAGAATTTTGATCTGAAGGCAAGGATTGAATACCAGCGCAATACACCATACAATACGTGGTGTGCCTGAACGAACATTTTTTTTTTGTGTTAAAATCGAAAATTCTTCATATTTTTTAACTACAGTGTCTCTTGAATCGTTTAAGCCAAAAAAAAATTCCGTCAAGATTCTGGAAAGTAAAGGCGCTTTAAAAGTATTCTGGGGCTATGTATCCTAACTGTGTCCACACATGGTTTCTGTTCAGCATATCCATGTGTAAGTATTTTTAAACGTAGAATCTAATTTTCACGTCAGGGAGTCGACACATCTCGATTTTTTCGATTTTATACGGAAAGTTGATGGTTTTTCGGGATTGAAATTATTATTTTTTCATGAAAAATAAATGCACCCAAAATGACTATGGCATATTGATTTTTATATATTTGCACTCACGAAATTGGTTGGTAAATTCAACGAGTGGGTGCATCGACTTGGTATATCGAGTTTCTGCAATTTTTTACGGCAAATCGGTAGATTTTCGGGATGTAGATTGCTTACTTTCAATTCATGAATGAATAAAGCATGGACATGGTTGAACTTCTTTGCATGGAAATACGTTCAAAATAACAAAATCAAGACATATCTAATGCAATTGCATTTATAATGAGTCAATTTCTTTTCAATGATATATCGGGATTTAAAATAGGTACCGGTGATTTGGATATTTCAGCCCCAAAAATACCTTTAATCGACTGTATCTTTCAGGAGTTCGACAGAATTTTTCCTTTCTTCGCTTTAATTATTCCGTAGCACTTTTCTTTAAGAATCTGATAAGATATTGCTGGGGGCAGATCAAAAAACTTTAACTCGTTCGAATGGCTTTCTACATTCACAATACACGGTCTCGTCAAAGTGCGTCGTCGAAGAGTTGGATCGTATGAATTCTCTTGTTGTGCTACTTGCCTATTTTGAAATCTCTGTAAATGAAAACTAAAGGGGTTGATATGTGTGAGTTAATGACGCGCCTTATCAACACATTGTGTTGGAGTTCACTGCTTGTTTTTGAACTATTTGCGCTTTTCGGTATATTCTTTGCCTCTGCGGAAAAATTGAAGGCGAACTTAAAGTTGAAAATGTCTTCTAGTAGGTTCGCTCATCGTCTATGCGCTTTGTGGAACGAGATATATGTATTTTATGAACAGATAACTATTCGCGCCTCCCGGTATGTTTGTTGCCTATCCGGTTAAATGGAAGGCGAACATTAAGTTGAAGATGTGCACCGAAGTGACCACCATAGTGAATTGGCTCCATCGAAGTTCATGGAGCAAAATATATGCGCTTTCGTCATCTTAAGTCAAGAGGCAACTTGCAATCTCTAAAAGCAATGTTAACTACAACTGTAGCGTCATCCCAAAAAACTCTTTCATTAAACTTTATTTGCTCTCTTTATCCCAATTCTTCTTCCCTCTATTATATTTTTACCTTCTCTTTTTCTGTATTATTTTTTCTTCCCCCCCCCCATGTAAGTGCTTTAGGGGTGGTGGCGCTTGGTACAGCCACTCCTAATATCGTCACTCCCCTGGCGTAAGGGCTTATCTCTATATCCATATGAGCCACGGAAAACACAGATTTGTACGGAGAACAAGGCTTACGTGGGAATCGAGATATACGCCCTTACGTCACAGGAGCGACTATATGCTACCCCTAAAAGTTCCTCTGACGCAGGCTCCTAAGGATAGGAGCTTTTTAAGGAACGACTATGAATACAGTACAGTAGTGAAAGTTCGTAAAATGGACACTCACTTTAGTAGAGGAATTTTTTCATAATCGCATGCCCCAACTCTGTCTGTGACGCGAGTGGCAAGATGTTTTGTCACGGGGATACCCTCTCTACAGAGATCGATCGTATCTTCAAAGAGGTCTTTCCATTCGATTCCTCCGCCAAATCTTTTGTAAATTTCCCATAGGCCTTTTAGTTCACCAGGCGTAGCGATTGACAGACCACCTAAGCAGGAAAAAAGTGACAAAAATCATTAAGAACTAACCAGAGAAAAAACAGAGAGCTGATTTTGGGACTACCAGCCCTTCTGTATCCAATACAATGGAAAACAATGGAAGTCTTGCCATCTTTTTTTGTAACAACTCTTATTTTTTCCATCTTCCCCCTCTTAAGAATAGCTATATTCAATCACCAAAGCTCAATCAAAGACACTATTATAGAAAATCAGATTTCTTATACAAATTCTGGTAATTCCCATGCATTTTGTCGTATTTCTGTTCATTCATATCAATCACGATAGAAGTTATCATTGATACGGACTGTCCGGTGATTTTTTTTCAGCGACACACATTTCTTCACTCACAGATTTTTTGCAAGTCTAAAATCAATTTGTTTTTACTTTAAGGTACTTTTAACGTTTTTCTGTAAAGAAACTACGCGGAGACCGTGCAGTTAAAACTTTTGCAGTGAAATTCTGTGCCGGAGTTAGTATATCGCTCAAAAACCCCGAGTTATAAATATGAATGGTGAGCAGAATCTATACTCCTTACGGAGTGACGAGCACTATTACGGAGCGGATTCCACTCTGTTTGCGCAATGGTACGCAATACGCAATGGTGTTAATTTCACTTCGTATTCATGTATAACTCGGGGTTTTGGGCGCTATATAGACTCCGACACCGAATTTAACCCCGCTATTTTGTTCGGTGCGAGTAAATTTTCTCGGTTTTTGCACTCGTGAATACTGAATCCATGATTCTTTAAAGGAATTTATTCTGATACTTCTTCTGTGAATTTTCACCTTTCATTGCGATGGCCGAATTGCCGTGGTGCATGTTTTCCGACGCCGCGCCTGGAGCTGTTTCCCGGGCGTCGACTGAGTAGACTTTGTTGTCCGCCTTTTTGTAGTACAACATCACGAAACCACCGCCCAGCCCTGTGCTCTGAGGGCAGACCACACCATCGCAAAGGGTGGCCGCTATCATTGCGTCAACTGCGTTCCCTCCTCTCTTCAAAATATCCCTGTGCAAAACACGTGAAATATATCGTTCAATAGAAAATTTTAAGGGACAAAACTATGTCCTATACACTTTTTTCCTGGAGTAAAGGTCTGAGAAATCAGCGACTGAATATGCCTGATAGGAAATTCTGAGTGCTTCGGAAAATGTGAGAAAAGTAGGTTTAAAAGTAAGGAAATTGATCTCCTTCCGTGTGAAGGCGATATTTTCAATTTAAATACATGTAATTTAGCAGAGCAAATCATTATTCATCAAACTAATAGAGTATATTCTCGCGCTATACTGACTTGCAGGAGAACTGCTAGACTGACTTACCTTGCAATGGGAGCAGATGGCTCTGAAGTAGTAACAACAGCAGCTTCATTGAAAATGCCCATAAAAGAGGGACCCTCCTCCTGCTCAGTCTTCAATCGTGGAATTGACATCCTCCGAGATACGTCTATATAAAAGCCTTTTCAAAAAACGCTCAGGACAGACCTTTAATAAGAATGAGAAAACCATTTTTAGATTTTCTCTAAAGTAAAACTTACCTACGTCAAAAAATATTTACAAATAACTACCTATTATTAATAAAAATTCTTTAACATATGTATCAAACATTTTTAGCGTTACAAAATTTCGGCATGTTTGAGATTTCAAGAGTCTCTGACATAACTTTACTCTATAATGTCACTGCCTGTCAATTATTCTACCAAAAATACTCAGGAAATTATTGCTAAGACATTTTTGACAATTAATTTAAAAGTTTTCTCTTTTTCAAATTTACATGTTTTTTCAACATTATTCGGCAGTTTTTGTGGTACGAGAGTATCAGGCATCCAAATGACTTAATTTTCAAAGCTTAATTTTACAATGGTTTAGTAGGTGGTAGAATTTATTGCAGCTTACCAAAACAAATTGAACTTTCCGGCAGAATTCCGATATTAGAATTCCTGTCTCTTGCAAACGATAGCGGCGTGTTTCAGCGAAGACATAGGACTTTCAGATCACAACCCTGCTTAACAGTCTTTTAAAATTTCCACATAGCAGGATCGACACACAGTAACTCAAAGTGCTTCACAGATTATATCATCTATGCCCAACAATGTCTCGACTGAGGAAGGTTTCGTATCTCTAAATAAGTCTGTGCAGTTATCTGAGGACCTTGACAAATTTAATTATTTAGTTAAGTTTAAAAAAATGTACGTATATTTTACCAAAGCACTGACTGCTAATATCTCCTCACAGTTTTGGAGCTCATGATGAAAAAAAGACAAATCTGGAGTGCGTGGCTGAAGATAAGCTCACCTACTCCACACAGTGATAATTTGGCACATCCTCACCACTTATTCTAAAGTAAGTTATCGGTTTTTTCATAAGTGGGTCAAAAAATACGAAACTAAAACCAATTGTGAACAGGCAGGACCCTCCGACACTAAAGATGCTGGAAATTATGAGCAATCCAAGTAATGAAGTGGTTTTAATCTGTGAGAGAATTTTTATGTAGTCAATAGCATTTCGATGGTGAAAGTCGGCAATCACATAACTCGGTTTGCGACGTCGCAGACTTCCTGTCATACTTTATTTTTTAAAGGGAAAACTACTCAACGGTATTTCTTTTAAACTGCCGTGATTTTTCTTCTATGTGCGAGGAAAATTCTGCAAAAACTTCAAGGAATCATGTCCATTTGTTCTCCTTTAAAAAAATAACAAAGTTGCGGAGATTTTCAGACACCGCAAACGAGTTATGTGACTGCCGACTTGCACCGTCGATTTGAAGCTTAAGCCGGTGCTTGCATACAATCAGACGCACCATCTCGTTTTTTTAGTGCTTTTGTTTATCTGTGCATCGGATGGCTGATGCGATGTGTCCTAAAAGTTTTTAAGCTCTTTTCGAAGCGTGCGAGCCTTTGTCGTAGGACTTCATTCGATTAATGATTTTCCAAAAGAATTGATAGTTTTTTTGGCACTTCTTAAGGGCCCTTTTCTTCCATCATCACAACGAGTTTGCTTATCGAATCACATCTATTTCTCCTTACTCGCTTCACACTTAAGAACGTAAGAACGTGTTGCTGCATTGGAGGTCAAGGCGTGAGATGCAACTATTCGAACATGGGTGTATGTTCAGTATCACTCCTAATTGGAGGCACTCTTAGCGCGCACCATTAATTTGCTCAATGCTGGAAATTTAACTGTTCGATTGAATGCTTTTGTTTCGGTCGCACCGCTAATTGGACGTTTTTCTACCAAACGGAACTATGTGCATTAAGAAATGAGCCCTGAGACCCATGAGCATATGTGCATAACAGGGCTCACGTCATAATGCACATAGTTCCGTTTGATAGAAATACGTCCAATTGAAGGCGTTTAGCGCAGATTATTCAGTCGCGCATTCGTGTGCGAATACAGGTCCACATAAAGCTCCGTGAAATTGGCTAACCAACATGGAGCACAAACTCCAAAGTCTCGAGCGTACTGGTTGAAGCACTTCTGAGGTCAGGGGTCCTGGGGTCCTCCGATAATAGGTGCGTCTGCGGACTTATTATTGAAATTGGTAGACAGAACTATATACAATGAAGACATAGGGAGTATGAAGCAATCCTATCGGTTGAAATGGGTGGCTCCTATGGACTACGGGAGAAAATGATGGAATAACTGTTGGGTCTCCCGTGGGTTTCCTTTAATGGGACTGCATTTTGCAATTTGGAACTATAAATTCTGACTCATCTGAAAAAAAACACTTATGGGCATAGGGAAACTAATGGCACATACGTTTTTTTTTTTTTTTTTTTTTTTTTTTTTTTTTTTTTTTTTTTTTTTTTTTTTTTTTT